GGGGCACATCTGCATTTCGGTGGATCAGGATGGCCTGGAATTGCTTGTAAGACAGTTGTCACTAAAGAGCACATCTGCAATTTCTGGGTCAGTGCAAAAACACAGATACCTGCTTAACTGAAGAATTGAGTGAGAATTGACAATTACTTTGATGGTTACAACCAGAATCTCCAAATCACCAACTCCTGCAGTGGAGTATTTTGATTTGTAATAGCTAATAGAGACATTTTATTTAACCAGTTTTATTTTATAGTAAATAAATCTATTGTTAGTGTTATCAACAGTGTTGTACATTTCATTAAAGGGATTCTTTTTTTCTGTCTGAATTCCGACAAGCACCCGAAGAAAAGAGACAAAAGTTTATATTGGCCATAGATAGAAATTATTTTATCTTCGATGGGAATTATGCAAACTTGTCTATTGTATACAAAATGTATAGAAGGGATTCACACTAGACTTTGCTATCAATCCTAATATCAAGATTTTGGGAAACCAATACCAACTACAACTGAGACGACATACCAGCTCCAACCAAGGAGAGAAAAGAAAACTAAATGACTGTAAGATCAGTATTACTCAACCAAGCTAGTGGAGCTAGTGACTTACAATTGAGAGGAGAAGAGACAGAGCTCAGAGCAAGGGGAGTGTGGTATGTGAGTTATATATGTATTGATAGACATAATCAAGGGCTGCCACACTCAGTGGATTACACTACCTTTATTTATACCTTGATTATAAATGATGTCAAAAATTCATAATAGAAATGAAGCAGTTTTCTACAGATGTAGCAGAGAGACAGACATCCAGCGGGTGTCCCAACTCAAAGAGCCCAACTGCAGTTTGAACTGCTGCCTTTCAAACAGCTATTCACTCATCTAGACTATTTTACTTTGCATGTCTAATAACTCAGGATGTTAGCCTTGGCCAATTAGTACTTCTTGTTGTTAAAATAATAGGTAATAAAGAGATCTCTTGTAAAAATCCAGAAAGCAGAAGAAAGAAATAAGCCAAGTGGCAAAGGTCATACCATTAATCCTCTTTTATGAATGCCTTTTGTCATTTGAGATCATGAAAGACAAGGAAGAAAAATAAACTGCTGTAGCCTTTAGTAATATGAATGGATAAGGTGGAAAGATGATTTGACTAGGAATAAAGTCTTCTCAAATTAATAATTACAATGTGGGTTGAATTCCTCATACCCTGCTTGCTAGTAAACAGCCTTTTTAAGAAACACAAACTACTTTTATTTAGTATCTGTCTATATTTTATTTAGCTGATACAAATTGCTTTCAAGCTTAATTATTTCTAAAACAATAGAAAATAATGAAGAGAAACTACCTTAATAAGTTTTGTATTTCATTAATCTGGGTTTTAATTAAACTAAAATCTAGCAAGCTACTGATTTGTAAATGTTAGATACAAACATATCTCCAAAACTGAGCAACTAAATTTATGGCTTATTTATTTTATGAGAGTGTGAAGGTGGTTGCTAGAATTTACTTCAAGCTATAAATAAAAAATCTGCTTTCAAATTAGAGGAATAGATTTTTGTTATATAAATATTACATAGACAAGCAACAAGAAAGTGAATCTTACACACTAGACTTTTAAAAAATGAAGAAAATTTCAGTCTTGTACTACGGGTATTTGTCTTATTTTTATATCACTGAAATTATATTCATTATTTTGGTTTGAAGTTAGTCACTTTGAGTGAAAACATTCTAAGTCAACATCTTATAGTTATTTAGCATACCAAAATAATAATTCTGTGACACTGGTCAGTTCAGGGTCGGATGTGACACTAAGTCGTCGGCCCGTGGTTAACCCCAAGTCGCAGTGTGGAACTGCAATATTTCTCCTACCATCGTTTTGGTTGCTGCCACCAACCTGTGTCCCGGTCGATCGGTGGTTGTCGCTGCCCGGTGGGATCCTTTGGTCAAGTTACCAAGTGGGATGGCTGGTCGATTTCACTTGGCTTCACACCAGATGCAACCAGTTCAACACCAGTTCTGTCATTCTCAGCTCACTTCCAATGTCTGGTTACCAAAGCAACTACTTTGATCTCAAGTCTAACCTAGCTACATTGTGATTTTGATCTTAGGTAGACAAGATCAATTGGACATCGGGTAGTGTAAGATGAGTCTAAACTGGAGGTGATATCACACAAAGAAAAGAAGCAAATAAAAACCCAAGAGGTTCAAGTATATTGAAAAAAAACAAATTAACTTTTATCCATCTGTTATATACAGGAGTATGTTTTTCTCCCAACCCATTTTCTTCGGAGAGTGACATTTTTATGCTTCTTAGAAAACCAGAACTTGCCTAAGTCAACTGGTTTAGTTTTTAAGTACTGGCTTAGCTTCGTTTGCTTTCCTACCAATAGCAAGTTAGACTGACAAAGTTGAAGACAGGAAGTCGTGGAATCTCTCGGTCAGCTTCTTCAAGGCAACATTCTGGTTCCTGCTACTTGAACTGCAACTCCCAAAAAAACTTCTACTCAATTGGTGAACTGCCCGAGGACGTTCGTTTATATGGGCACTGACCAAAAACTGGTGCAGGGTTAGAGACAGCCTGGGGTTTTCGGCAAATCCTGATTTCTGACAAGAAACCTCTTTGTTGTTCGGCCAGGAAAATTGATTACTTCCCATTTTGGAAAATTAATAACTTTCCATTTTTGGGGGGATCCCCTCATCTGTGAAGGGAGGTTGCAGGATAGCTATCCTAAACTTCCCCCTTCTCAGATTGATACCTCATACCAGTGGGCATTAATAATTTCCCCACCTTCTCATCAATTACCTCCACCTATCACCATTGCTACCACTCAACCAATGGCGTCCTGGCCATGTGGGTGTGGCTAAGCTAGCCTCATTAAAATTATAAACTAGAATTTTGTTGTTTACAAAATTCTCGTTCTCACCAGACAAAATTATCACAAAAATCACATGGCTCTGTCTCTTAAAATCAGTTTATTTATGAGTTTAGAATTTATCATCTTGTTTTTAAAATTCCCTTTTTTGACCTTACAAATAATGTATGGGCCGTCATGGCTTGGCCCACTTCTAGGACTTTGCAATTTCGAATGATATCTCAGATGCTCCTTGGCTATTTTGTGTCTCCTCAACCCATGCTTTTACAAACAACATCAATCGTCAAGGTCTGCGGGAACCCTTGGCTTCTCAGGAAAAAAAAAAAATTTCTATTTTCAAATTGCCAATTCTTTTGAAATATTTTCTCATGCCAAAATTCTATAATTGGCATATGGCCACTTAACTTGCTGGTACTCAAGATATCTTGGAAAAATAAATAATGGTAATTCTCTCTGCCACATATTGGCAAATTTTGGAATATTTTCTATAATTGGCCTACTTGATAGATATTGTTGGTCAAATGAATGAAATAAATCTTTCGATTTTAGGCCATGAAGTCACCATTATGGATGCTGCTGAAAGAATGAAAACTTTTCTGGCTAAGCTACCATTGTGGCAGAGGGGATTGGAGGCAGACAACTATGCAAACTTTCCAATGTTAGAATTGTTTCAGCAGGAAGGAAGTGAAAGCAACATCTTGATCAACTTCTCTCCAGGCAAAATTCTGCAGACATCTGGATACTCTACAGAACTCTTTCAAAAGGTTACTCTGGCTCAGGTTACAAAGTTGAAACAGATTACAGTAAAAGTCAAAGATGTTGGCTAGGACAAAGGATTATCAGTTAATGAAGATCTTGAAAAGATGTGTGGAAGAATTAGGAAAAGAAATCACAGAAGATAGCAATTGACCATTTAAAAGGACAAAGGAAATTTGTTTTTTTTTTAGCACAGAACATGTTACATCTAACCAATTCAACTTTATATCAATGAGACCTTGTTGCTAGTCTAGTACTCCATTTATATTCATAAAGTCTAGGTACCATAGTGAAGAGCTCAGCCAAACAAATACCATTCATAGAAAAAGGACAGGGAGGAAACTTTACAGAAATGAGAAAGTGGAACTGAGACGAAAGATCAAGACCAATAATATTGCTGATTCTTCTTTGGATTTTAACAAGGATCTCTAAATATGAAGCAGGAGCAAAGGACCATAAATGCTATGAAATGAATTCAAAGAGTCTTGGAGACAAACTGAGTGTTCTGATTCCCTTTGCTGCCACATACCTTTGTTAATTAGGGTTTTCAGCACTTTTTTCTATCAAAAATAAAGATTGGATGTCAAAGATAGAATGGATGTCACCTTGTCAAAGACCACTCAGTTTTATATTCTTATTCAAGATAGACAACAACCACCACCTTCTTATTGAAATAAAGTAGATAATAAGTAGATGTAATACTAGTAGATCATATTTAATATGCACAAGCGGATTGTGTTTCGTGATTATATTTACTAATGTTTGGTGTATGTCATGAGACAATAAACTCTCAATAAATAAAGTACATTATATGCATTGAATAAAAAGTTGTGTTTATATGAATATTTCTGGGAAAGCTGGGGGTGGATTGGATTCTTAAAAGGGTCTGTGACTCAAAAATGATTAAGAACCTCTTGTCTAGAGGAAAAACAAAAAGAAAAGTCAATGGTAAAAGAAAAAAGTAACCATTTAATTTATAAGTATATGAAGATATCAAATTATTGATCATTTTTTTTTTTTTTTAAATGTTATTGCTGCAGGTTTGCTAGTTTAAACCAACAAATCCCAGTTATGATTATTGCACAACAAAAGTAATAAGTAAACAAATCAATAATTCTCTCGTCAGGCTACAAATAAAAGCATAACAAAGTCATTTTTATTTTTGTAAATATATTTATAACATTGAGTATTTTATACAGAGCCAAAAAAAGTCTTTGTAAAAAAAAAAAAAGAAATAATAATATAAAGTTAGAATAAAGGCATTTTTATTGATATGAGTAAAAGCAGTGGAGAGAAAAGTAAATATTTTTGATGTGCAGATAGTATTGCAGTTATTGGCACAGAAAATAAAATTGGCAAACAGAATTCAAATTCCAGCCTAATGTCCTTGGAAAGGCAGAAATCCGTATCTTCTTCCCATACCAGACTGGGCATTGAGTGGCAACCCATCTAGGGAAAAAAATATTCTGAATTTAAAAAAGTGGGAAATACATGAATTCACTCCACTATCTTTCCCAAGAAGTTGTGGAAATTCACAAATAAAGAAAAGGAATATACAGAGCTATGAGTGCCTGAAGGGACATGACATTAAAAAAATATTAAGAGATATCCAAATATAAAAGTGTAGACATAATAAAATGTTTGCAAAAAGACTTTTCAGGATAATCACCATTTGGCTGGAATCAAAAATAACATTCCATTCAGTTACAGCTGATCAACATCATTAAAACTCAAAATGAAATTCAGCCTTCAAATTAAGCTAGCAATAATTTCCCTTATGTAAGTGGCAAAAACTACTATACTATTTTTTGCTTAAGGTTTCTTTAAAATGTTCCCTCATTAGTTTAATCAATCCATTCTGGTCCATAGAACATGTCACAGATGCGTGTGTGTGTGTGCATATTATAAGCTGGTATCTGTCACAAAAACAATCAATGCTGAATTTCTGGAAATATTCTTTATAACCTGAAGTCCCCACTCTTTGCTTGCTAATCAAAATTTAACAATAATTTCCCAGTCTTGATTAATTAGACAGCTCTGAATCTCTGTATTGTTGATTTTACAGTTTTTAGTATTTTCTTCTCAGTGAGAAATTAAGAAAAGTACTAAAAGGTGGGAATGAGTAGGACCAGGTAGAGCACTGTTTCAGCAGAAGAGAAGATGTTTCAGCAGTAGTAATATCCAGTTTTTCATCATGTCAATTGATAGAAAAGCTAATACAGAAAATGTAGGAGGCCAAAATGTTTGTAAAAATAATTAGTATGGATCAAGTAGGTGCAAAAGTTTATCAGTTTGAGAACTTTTATTTTCAGTTATTCTCCTCTTGACTTGATGTTAACAAAAATGTAAGCAGGCATTACATTCTGTGATTTGTGTCAGTTTGAGATATTCTCATTTTTCGGTCTTTTCAGGTAAAAATTTCTCTAATTCAGAATCTGTTAATAAACCAGTTTATGGTTTACATTTTCTCCTAATACCTTCTTGCTGACTAATACAATTTTTAAGCCCCTTGTTAATTCTCATTTTCACCTAACACACAATTTTATTTTTACAGCAGAGTTTGACATTTTGAAAAAGTTCTTGCGAATGAACTTTGTGAAAAAAAAAAAAAAAAAAAAAAGAAAAAAAAAAGGAAAAAAAAAAAGGAAAAAGTAAGTCAATCAAAGGATCTTTTTCCATATTGAAAAAGATTTGTCATGTTACTAGCAGTAACCAAAGAAATCAGAATTTAAAATAATTAGTAGCAACATAGGCTGATAAATTCATCTCCAAATTATCATTATATATGGCAAATTGATATCATTGAATGAGATTTAGGTTTCCTTATAAATTTTGGAAAAAAATTTATATAAACTTACTACAGTATAAAAAAAAAAAAAAAATAACCAAGAAAAAAGCCTGTAGGTTATTTGCAAAGACAATGAAGAAAAAAAATCAGATAATTCTTGATTAAAACAAGTCTGTCTTTGAAAACAAAGTTTGTCAGAACAATAAAAGAGGAATATTAACATGAAAATAAAATTGGATGGGTTAAAATAAGTTGGCATGAGTCTGTAGCATATACCAAATTTCATACAGAAAACTTAATATTAATTTGACAATCTCAACATTTTGTCTTAAAATATGGCCTCTAAAGGACACATTTAAATCACAAGAAATAAATGAGGCATTTATTTTGGTGGAGGTGTATTTTTTTTTTTAGGACTAGAATGCCCCAAGCAAGCCAAGTGTCAGCAGCAACAGCTTGCTAAAGCAAATACAGGTTTATTAAAAGAAAAAAAAAAAAAAAAGCTTTTCATTTTCAATTCATTCTGCAATCTCAAATGCAGGGAAAACCCTGAATTAAAATAATTTTAAAATGTTAAAATATAAATTTCATCTTTAATGATTTTTGTTTTTTTGTAAGAAAATTTCAAAAGACAAATATTAAGTTTTATAGTCAAATGATATCTGGAGGCATAAAGGCACTGACCAAGGGCCAGAAGAGCAGGTGCAGCAGTGTAAAAAGTGTTGAGTGGTAGGCTGACCAAAAGCCCAAAATAAAGGAGCCACTATATAGTGGTTATTCAGATGACTGGGCGGATATTCATCTGTGGGTGGAGGGAGACATGGATATGTGAGTCAGATGCAGCAGGGCTGGATAGCTGGATCTAGATAAGCTGTTCTTTATTGACTAGTCTACAGAAGCTGGAAGGCATCTAATTCTCAGACCCAATAGACATCTTTTCACCAAAGTCTTCAGGCTGCAAGTCGAACCTAAAAAAATAAAAACATCTCACAATTTATTTGTGGAACAATTAAATTTTCTTTAAAGAAATTGAAAAATCATTTCACATTTTCTATAAAAAAATCCCACTCGATATCTTCTAATTCCTTATTTGCTGCTAATAAATAGCATTACATAATACTTCATTTATTATAAAACACTTTGATAAAATGTTTTTCTTTTTGTCTAAAATTAAGATAATTTTAATGTCCAATAATTTAAAAAAATAAAATCAATCATTTTTTCCTTACACATTTTAGTTTGTCCTTGTATTAGCAAGGACTTACAATGAACTCTTTAAGAGATCAGATACATAAAATGGTAGATGTGGATAGAGACAAAGACTCATGAATTTCAAAGACCATATCAAAGACTGACTTAAAGTTTTGTGATGATGTTCATAGACAATTTATATAAAATAAACAAATATTAAAATAAGAATTTATTAAGTAGATAAATGGTACATTTTGAATTTTTGTTTTGTTTACATTTCCATCAGTGAAACGGGTGTGTGTGTGTGTGTGTGTGTGTGTAAAGAATAAAATGGAATCTGAAAATTTAGTTAGCATTTATAAAAACATTCAGCTAATAATTAATAAAATATTCTTATCTGGACTGACAAGTGAAACATCACAAAACTAAGTTTGGTCTTTGATAAATATCCTAAGTGTGTAAAAACTATCCAAATGTTCTATGGGTATAAATGCTTTCAGTTAATCTATTAGCTATTATCAATAATGTTTTTTTTAATTGAATATGTATCTATAGGGATGGGAATGTTTTTTTGAAACAGATGCTAGTTAATAATGGTTTTCTGAACTATCTTATAGATAACCAAATTAGATTGTTTCTCTCTAAAGTAAGCAATAGCATGACTGAACATACAGAAAAAAACAATATCAACATTTTCTATAAAAATCAAATACATTTTAATTATAAAGAAGATGAATTTGCCCTTAGAAATATTATTAATAAAATACACAAACCTAGTTGACCAGAAAAAGAAAATTAACTTAATTATCTATTTAAAAAAAAATTTAAAATGGTCAATCTCATTGGCAACAATAACAACTTATCTGCAAGATCACAAAGCTACAGAGAACCAATATTATTTATAAATTCACATACCCGCTTAAGGAACTGCTTTCCTGATCATAAATAATAATTATATTGGACATATCACTACATGTTTATCAAGAAGACTTCCTTTACATCTCTTGGATCATAGCTCGATTTGAACCCATTTAAACACACAGAGACACCTACCAATCTGTTGGCAACATACTTATATAAAATACAACCACAATAGCCTCATCCAAATGCAAAAAATGGTTAAAATAACGGAAGTATTAATAATAATAAAAAGTCAACTCTCATTAATATCAACTATGAACACAATCACAGTATGCTGAACATGTTTGCAAATAAAAAAAAAAAAATCATTCCATTGCTATATCTACATATTCAGTTAAAAAAAAAAAAAAAAAAAAAAAAAAAAATGAAAAAAAAATCCTTGATAATGGCTAACAGATTACCTAAAAGCACTTGGATCCCTTTTATATGTAATAAATTTGGGTACATAATCCCAACAGAGTTATAAGTTATTTGGAAAATCATTCATGAAAGTAGGTTTTGAAAATATTACCCAATAATGCATTTCACCTATATGGCTTCATCAAATAGATAATGAAAAATGTATTGTGTATGTATGTATTTGTGCGTGCTTAAAATAATTAAATCTGATATTATTTTTCTCAAGCTGGTGCTGTTCAAGACTAAAAAAAAAAAAAAAAAAAAAAAGTGTCCAAGTTTTGAGATGAAAATCCTTCAGAATGGGTAGAAAATAGAAAGAATGGTTTTTCTCCATGCATTCTCATTTTCTTTGTCTAACTGCTTGAATCCCCATACCATCCCAGTAGTAGAGATCATGGCTATCAATGATTGTCATTTGTAATTTCAGCACTATTCACCAAAATGTCTCCCCTGTCATGAGACCACATATGAATTCAGTGGTGTAAATGTAAGGTAACAGATTCATTTACAAAATAATTATCTGGAAATGGTTTTCTAGGGCACTGTTTGTTTCCTGCCTTCAAATAATCTCTGCATGTTAAAGGTAAACTTTATTCTAATAGGGAATAATCAAATTTAGTATAAGTTAAAACTTAATAGATATCAGTAGTCTAACTAACCCTACCACATGTATTCTTAGCTAATCTCAGACTTAACCCCACCACTCTTACTCTGATCCTTAATTTCAATTCCTTCAGAGTGGTATTAACAATTCAGTAATTCCCCCTTGTCTTGGATGAAGTCTACAGCTTTACTTGGTAACCTTCCTAGAGATGGTGTCTTGATAAAACTGCCCAGCCTCCTGTGCTGTGATCAGGTTAAAAGTAGATAAGCTGACGATTGTCTGACCCACACTCCTAGCATGTTTATTGAACAGGATTACTCCTAGTTTCTTGTTTTCCTGTTTACTAGTTCTTTCTTCCAAGGTTATGATTTAATGATCTTAACTTTTTGGTGATTTGACTGATCAGTGGCTACAATTCTTCGTTATGAGGGTTGGTGCATTCGACTGGAGCCTGAACTCTATGGCTATGGTAGCATTAAAGAGGCTGCTTTGATCAACAGTCAGATAATATCAGGTTATTTGTAGTGCCATGTCACGTATGGGTATGTGTCCCTGCATGTATTTCCAGTGGGAAACCCTGATGCCACATTATACTAGTCTTAGCCACATTCTGTTCAGTTTGTATTTCCACGGATGACAGTGATAATTATTTTGGTCTTCTTTTTCTCTTCAAAACATACCTCCTTATGACTGATACAAAAAAAAAAAAAAAAAAAAAAAAAAAAAAAATCATCTACCCTCCTCAACCTTCCTTTCTCCAATATTTGTAGCATCCACTTCAATTTCTGCAGTGTAGAATCTTTTCTCTTGAAACAATCTCCAGATATCTTTGTATTTTGTGAAACTAAATTATTCTATGGATTCTCTATTTCAGGCTTTCTTCCTCTTTGCTAAAAAGAACCTAGCATGTATATGCATGGCCTTAGTGTTTATATCTGCAAAAATCTTCCAAATGGTAAGGAAATTGTCCCAAGAGTCCTCAGATAATTGTTTCGTGTGCATTTGACTTTCATTGTTACATTCTGTTAGCTAACACTTTTTCCTTTATTGCTCTCCTTCTATTTAGGACTGCAATATATTAGACAAAATTTCTGACAGTATAGAAATGACTCTTCATTCATCTGCACAACATTTTTGTGTTTGGTGCATCACAACAAGTAGCTTAAGAATTCTAATGTTACTGATGTTGCTGGTATTCAGAATTTGAACCTTCCATTGCTCAGTGTCTTACTCAAATAGTGGATATCCCTACTTATTTCTCCAATAAATCTGATCAACATGCTTCCTTACTGGATTTGTCCCTTACTTCCTCTCCAAGCTTTTATTGGGCTTCATAACTGTTCTGTTTGCAATTCGGGTCATGCTGTGGTATCTGTTGATATTTCATTTTAATCATCTATTAGATAGGAACATCCTATTCACAAGACTTTTCCATTACCAGCATACTGATTGAGATTCATTTCATCAATTTATTCAAGACACACATTGTATGGGTATTCTTGACCTTCCTATTGAGAATTGTGCCAGTGAGGTTTCTTCTTGGATTAAAACTGGCATTGAAGCTTTTGTAACTTCTCAGAAATAGCAGGTATAATCACAATCTTCTCCAGGTTTCACTCCAGCCTGTTCAGTTGCTAGAGTCCACAAGAATCAAGTTTTCTGGTTATACCAGCATGAAAGTTCCAATCACAACAGATACTTATTCATGGCTGCACATTATAAATGTAAACATGTCTTTGAAGGGACTAAGTCATATAGCCTCTAACAACTTTGACTCTTGTGACTACTGGTCACTCTGTAACAGTGTATTTTAATAGTGTATTAAAAATAGAGTGAATTTTCTATTCCTCCTCTCTTCACTCAATTTGAGGTGTTAACATTTGCTGATAAAGCAGAATATTTTACCCATAAATTCTCTTCAAACTCTTCTCTTGGCTCATCTGGAGTATCCTTGCCTGACTTTCCATGTAGAATAGAATTTCTGGAGTAATATGCATATAATTCTTTCCATAGTTTCTGCTATCATCTCTAGTCTAGATCCCCACAAAGCATGAGGACTTGTAATAATCCTTAAGAAATGTACTCCTGAACTGGCTCATGTTCTCTCTAAACTGTTTCATAAATGCCTCACTGCCTCTTGCTTTCTTGCTTGTTGGAAATCCTTTTCTGTCGTTTCAGTCTTAAAAGAACTCAAGCAAACCATCTGACCCTTCTAGTTATCAGCCTATTAGCCTCTTTTTGGCAAATTACTAGACGTTCTAACCAACTCTGATTTGGCTAATCATCTCACATCGCAGCGCCTTCTTTGAGACAAGCAATATGGCTTTTGCTTCTCTAGGTCAACTGCTGATGTTTTAACAATTATTGCTAAAGAGTCTATCAAGTGATAGATGGTGAATGGCAGTTACTTTGGAGATCTCAAAAGCATTAGACAGGGTTAGGGTTTGGCATAACAGTCTTCTTAAGTTGAAAATTATGGTATTTCTGGACAACTTTTTGAATTGATTCAGTTTTTAAGAAATCGCAAAATGAAAGTTGTTCTGAAAGGCCACTTTTCTCGATATTTTAGTACTAATGCAGGTGTTCCCCCAGAGCTCTATCCTTGGAAATACATTGTTCATAATTTTTATCAATGACCTTCCTAATGACATCAGTTCTCAACTTGGTATCTATGCTGATTACAACTATTTACTCCTGTCTTAATAATAAATCTGATCAGTTTAATAAGGTCAAATTGGCAGCTGATCTAAGAAATGATCTATAATCTGTTTTTAACTGGAGCAAGGAATGGTTTGTTAATTTTAATGCTTCCAAAACAAAACTTCTCTCTATTAACCATCTGAGAGACCACTTCCTGCCTAATATGGCTGATATTAACCTAAAGGAAAGTAACTTGTTGCACCTTCTCAGGCTAACATTTTTGGCTGAAGTGGAAAGATTATATTGAATCTATTGCTAGGTCCGCTGCTAAGCAAGTTGGTTCACTGTGTTGTGTTAAACAATTCTTTCCAGAATCTATCTTACATATTTATAAGTCTACCATTTATATTTATAAGTCTACCATTTATCTATACTTTGAAATATTGTTACCATTTATCTATACTTTGAATATTACCATTTACCATTTTATCTATATCTATACTTTGAATATTGTTACCATTTATCTATACTTTGAATATTGTTACCATTTATCTATACTTTGAATATTGTTACCATTTATCTATACTTTGAATATTGTTACCATTTATCTATACTTTGAATATTGTTACCATTTATCTATACTTTGAATATTGTTACCATTTATCTATACTTTGAATATTGTTACTTTGAATATTGTTACCATTTATCTATACTTTGAATATTGTTACCATTTATCTATACTTTGAATGCCATTTATCTATGCAATATATTTATATTACCATTTATCTATACTTTGAAATTGTTACCATTTATTCTTTGAATATTGTTACAAATCCAATATATTTAAAAGAATCAGTAATACCTAACCTGGCATCTCTGCTTCAGTCACTTTCCCACTGCCATAATGTAGCTTCCCTGTGCTTTTTCTACAAATACTTTTGTAATAATTGTTTGGATGAACTCTTTGCTATGGTATCTAGACCTTATAAATTTTTTCTCACACTTCTCACTTGTGGAACTCTTCCAGCTCCATGCTTTCTGGCCAACTTTGATTTTTAAAATGTTAAATGCAATGTCAATCATTATCTACTGTCTTCTTGATTACTCTTCTATTGTTTCTTCTCTTTCTTATTCAATCACACTCAGTAACCCCTTGCATCTTAGTCATTTTACTGCCTTGTATGGAGTGAAATGATAAAAAAAATAAAATAAAAAAAGCTTAATTGCATTTTTCAGCAGTCTTCAATCAAACTTATATAAAAGAGGGATTACTGCCCAAATACACACACACATATATATATATATATATATATATATATATATATATATATATATATATATATGTGTGTGTTGATTGCTTTGGATAGAAAAATGGTGAAGCAAATGAGAATGCTTAAAAGAAAAAAAAAAGCCATTTTTAAAAATTTAAGTTTTTTTTTAAAAAGTAATTAAAAAAGCTGGCATTTATTTAAAAGGAAAATCAGTTACAACTTACCATTCTGTAAGAGCTTTGAAAACATCAAGATTATAGAGTTTAATAAAGACCACTCCAATAATCTGACGGTCACTGGAGAACATAGATTTATTGTGTTTCACGGAAATATCCAGAGTTCGAGTTGCCAGTTCACCAGGGGCAACAGGGAATTCAAAACTAAAAATTGTAATAAATATGAAAAAGATGAATACAAAACTTAGAATTAAACAATTCAGTCTTTAGAGAGAAACAGGTAAAAATTAACAATACTTCCAAAATATATAATACAAAACACTATATACAAAAAGCAGCTTATTCAACTTTTTATTGAACAACATCATTTTAGGATGATTTGCCATTAATGAGAGTTCAGGTTTTATTTGAAGAAAATTTTGTCAATCTAACCACTGAAATTAATTTTGAATCTTGTTCTGAATAATGTCAGACAACAAATTCCACTACACTTGTAAAAGTTTAAACATGGGATTGAAATTAAGAAGTTTTAATCATATACATTAAGAATTAGACAAGATAGCAGAATTTTGCAAATCTTAAGAGAACAATTGGTACTCACGTTTCATCAAATACAGGATTGAGACTGTTCTTGACAACGGGGGTTTTTCGTTTATTAGCACTTGTTTTATCAGGAAGTAAATACATTCTGACATAAGGATCAGCCAAATTGTCTCCATCACATGGTAAAAGGTTGCTAAAAATAATGAAGATAACAGTAATGATCAGTAAATAGTCAATCTCTCCTCTGTTCAAAAATTAACACTAAATCAATCATTTTGCTTTAATTTTAGATAAACATTTTGCACTATAAAAGAAGCTTACAATTAATAAAAACTACAGAAGCCATCTTTGTTGGGTTCTGTAGTCATTTTAAAAGTTTCAACCAAAACATTCATTATGTTTCTCTTTTGAAACAATGTTTTGGCTGAATTTTTAAAATGACAAATTTCTAATGATTAACCAAGATCAGTTTTGTTGTTATATATAATACAGGGTTCCCACAGATCTGTGAAAAAAAAATCCAAGACTATGGTAATAAATTTAAAAAAAAAACCCAAACTTTGTGATTTATCTTTTAATAGCTTGACAGATGAGATATTCAAAGAACAGCTACAGTTAGTTCCAATAATTCATGTCACATGGATCAGTTGAAAGAAGTGAAGAAATCAAAGTGTTGAAGGCTAAAATGTAATTGAATGCAAACCTGGTTATGTTATATATTTTGTGTAGCAGTCTACAGTTTGGAGTTCGACTGCACTTGAAAATTTTGAATTACACATTTTCATTCTTACTGCACACATTTCAGCTATCTAGACTAATCATGGTTTGTGAATATCACAAAAGATTCTTGATTGCTGCACATTTCCTGTGAAGTTAAGTATAATGGTTTTAATGAACAGAACTACAAATAGAATTTTTCACAAAAAGACTGCACATTTTAGCTACCCCTACTACTCATAGCTTTCGTTGAACATGGCACAGAACACAACATTTTTTTCAGTTCATCTAGGTTTAGCATTGAGCTCCTCTTCCAATTTTGATATCACAATGGATTTTTACTTTGCAGATCTTCACATAGCATTGAACTTTGTGATAATTGTGAAATTCTGAGTCTGCTTAGTTTTCTCTGCATAGCTGTCTGCTGACTTGAGAAAATCTTATGTGCAACTTTCAAGCTTGTTTTTTTGGTCTTCAGTTCTTCAATTTCCATAAGCTTAGATTTCTGTTTTTGTCCAGCTGCTTCTTCCTGCATTTTTTTCTTCTCGGCCTCAAGGTATTGTTTATATGCTATTCTGGCATTGGACGCACTACAGAGAAGAGCCTTAATCATGGGAACATTCTCAGCACCTCCAACTGTAGACAAACAGTCTGTGATAATGTGCTGTGCAACCAGTCTTCTGTTTCATATGGTCAGTGGAAATTTCCTTATTGACTGAGAAACTTCTCTCCACTGAGGCCTGTCCATGAGAGAATACCAGCAATCTGCAAACAACTTTGCACAATTTTTAATATTCTTTGTTGCTAGACAAAGAGTAGAACAAAGGTTCCAGACAGTCTTCATGCTTACTGAAATTCTTGAAAGCAATATTTCCAGCAACATCTGTAATACTACTTGAACTGATGCTGTCATCACAATCAGACTTGCTGACACGTTTTCTGTCCATCATATGAGAAAGACATCTTTTTTAGTCTTCTGTGGCAGATTTATTTTTACAAGTGGATCCAAGTTTCAGCCATGCAAGTGACCTTACAAGAAGGTATCTAAGGGGAGACCTTGCCAGAAGTTTCTCTGTGACAGTGATGAACATTGTTGCAATTCTGCATGCAAACAGATCTTTCATTGACATATTTCCTTTTTTGGATAAATTTTGCATAGACCTCTCCACCAGAAATCCACACGTGATCATTGCAGTATCTTTATTCATGTTTGGGTTTGACAAAATTCTTACAAATTCATTCAATTTGGAAAATGTAATTATCTTTTTAGTGTGCTCTTCCTTTACAAAACTTAAGTTTCATGGTCATACTAAAAAGATTTTCTGCAAGAAAAGGCAGCAATGGTTTATAGTTTTGATATTTTATCAGAAATGGTTAAATGTCTTTTGAAACAGTCAAAAATCTGAAGTTTCACTAGAAATAAAACGTTATTTACATTTGACAGCACTTTTCCGTTTTTTTTGTTTTTTTTTTTTAAGTTCACAAATTTGACAACATCTGGCCAAATGTCTAGGAGTCGTTCACATATTTGTATATTTTCTAGCTATTTATGGCAGAATTAAAAAATAAAGGAAGAGGGTTGCCAGATTTAACCTTTAATATAAAGCCAAGCAATAAAAACCAAATAAGTTTTACTATATTTCATCATTTTTTCACACAACAAAAGCTAGAGATACACATCATTAATCTGCTAATTTTAAAAAGAACATTTTTCTTATTTTTTAAAAAATGCATTTTTTATCCTAAGACACATCAAAGGCATATTTTCTATTATTTTCAGGACTTTCCAAGGAACTTTTGGGCTATTGCTGTTTTTCTGGGACTTTTCAAGGTTTCCAAGATCTGTACAAACCCTGATATCTTTATTCCCCTAATTTAAACAGAACTTTGTGTCTAACTAACTAATGTAATCTCACATTGGCTGGTTTTTTTTTCTCTGCTTATATAAAAATATGTAAATAAGGCTCAGTAGCAAATGTTTTCATTACAAGGAATGCACAACTGATTTGAATTATTCTAGCAGATATAGAGTCATTTAGATATTTAAAATAGAAAATATTACAACAATTCCACACATTTGCCATTACCATATATTAAAAAGTGTTCTACTTTAAAGACATCACATTTTGGCTCCTTTAATCACCAAATTGACATCTATTATTAAAACTAGTTTCACTGAAGCCAAAATACAAGCATATTCAATAGTTTAAAGTTAAAGCAAATAGGTATGAAATCAAAGAAATATTAAAGTTATAAGAATTAATACTTTAGTACTTAATAATCATTAATGAACAAATTTATACAAAATGTGGATGTATACTGACATGCATTTATGGACCACAACAACCAATTGCTGTCTTTTAGTACTGTAACGGATTGTGAGCTGAATACGGCCACGGCCATGGTCCCCTGAGCTACTCAAGCTACAAATAGACAAAGAAGTTTTTGATCATTGGTACAATATGAACAGTAAAATGAAAACAAATTTTCAGAATTCATGTTCTTTTGTAACAGAAAATCCTGTTAAAAAAAAAAAAAAAAAAGTTAAAATTAAGAGAAAAGACAGTGGCACGTTTATAGAAATTATTAAATGATAAAGTTTATAAGAAATATTAAACAAATCTTTACACACAAAGTATATTTATTGCAACATTACTTGAAACATTAAAACATTTACTTGTACAAATTTATATTATGCAAATATTCTCACGTGTTGACAGAAGGGCCTTTACTATATCTATTTATCATTATCTATTTTATTTAGTGATTTTATAGGAATTAATATATATATCTCCAGGTGAGAAAGAACAAATGGAGTATAATTCCACTGCCCATAATATTTAATTTAAAAGAGGGCTCAATACAGGATAAAGCTAAATATTATTTATCAGATATTAAAATAAAAACATGCTAAAAATCACTACAAAATAGCAATCATGTTTCAGCACTACAAATGTGTCTCCTTGGGTGATGGTAAATTACTGGTGAATGAACGATTAATTTCAAAAGCAGAATACTTCCTCTTTTTTTGAAGAAGATGAGAAAAAAAAACCCCAAAAAACAGAATTAAAATGAGGCTTGTGAGTTTACCATGTTAACCAATCAAATGTGAGGCCTACACTAAAATCCAAATCAATTAAAAAAAAGTTATATAGGTAATGGCATGAAGTTGTCTATATAGAAATCTTAGACAATTTGGTTTGCAACTGATACAAATGATTACATTATTTAGTAAAATATAGAAAAGTATGATGTTCAACTTTCACAGGAAGTAAAGGGGTAAGGGGATAAACTAGTATAATGTTAACTAGCTATATGCTTGGTCATAGATATATAGCTATATGCTTGGTCATCTTCCTATATAGAATTTTGTAGTTGATAATTAAAAGCTTCTTAAGAAACCAAAAAAAAAAAAAAAAAAAAAAAAAAAACATAAATTAAAGATGTTAATGCTAACTACACATCAATATATTCATACAAGATGTTAATAATGCTAACTACACATCAATATATTCATACAAGATGTTAATAATGCTAACTACACATCTATATATTCATACAAGATGTTAATACTAACTAGACATCAATACAGAGATATAGTAAATCTAAGTGAATTTTAAACAATAGAATAGTAAACCATATAAGGTGCACTGCAGTACATCTATCAATTATTACTCTAAGAAAAAGTATTATCAAATTTGAAGTTTAACCATATTGTAAAGTAAAAGGTAAACTATGCCTACAATTTACAGTTAATTCACTTCTTTGGTTTAATAAGGAGTCTTTATCAATAAATTTGATAATTTCTATTTTCTCATGTAAGCATAAGAAACAAGGTTCATTTAAATATGTATACATTCTAGCTTTTTTTAGTACTTTCCATTTTACCATAGGAGTTTTATTAACTTTCAAAAATATTTAGAAAGAGATGTACTATTTTTATAAGTAGTATTGGTGAAGGATATGTTAGTACTCCCAATATAAAATTTTTCAACAGTCAAATTTTCTATTGTAGAAATAGTACTTAGATAAACAAGAGAGTTGGTCAGACACAGGTTTTGCAATGGGCATTCGTTAGAATTCCTGCAATTACATTGGTTAATATTATCAACAGTATGTATCTTGAAAGTTGCATTATCATCCAAGTTTTTAAATTGGTTTAAAATTTTATTATCGTGTTTCTTTATAATCTTCAAGATTATCAGTGCAGCTATAAATTAGTTTTAGTGTGTTTGTTAAATACCTTACTGAGAAACTTATTTCTAGGGAAATGTTTATCAATTAAATGGAGGAACTTCTGGCCTAACTTAGTACTGACCATTTGGTTAAAAGGAGGTGTATACCAAATTTTCCTATTCCTAAAATAATGATAAATTAAGAAAATGCCTTAAAAAACAATATCAATTATAATTTATTTCATGAATATTGCTATATTCATCTCTTCAGACCGAAAGTTTTTAAAGAAATAGAATCAATCCATCCAGACAGATATACTGGGATAAAAAGGAAAAAAGGGGGGGAAAAAAAAAAAAAAAAAAAAAAAAAAAGAAAGAAAAAAGGAAAAAATATTAATAAAAAAAAGGAATAAATAAAAAAATAAAAAATTACAAATATAAAAAACTTTAAAATTAAGTGGGGGGAGAGAGAAAATAAATGATGAGTCAATAGCAAAAATAAATAGAATGACCTAGGAAAAAATATTCCTTAAAAGGGCTGAACAAGTTAATATATTGGGTAAGGGAAGGAAGATGGGGTTTTGTCTAATAAAGTCACATCATTTTAGACATCCACCATCATCATTTTAAACTAATAATAATAATAATTTCAAACATAAATAAAATAATATAATAAAATAAATAAATCAATAAATAGAACTAATAAATTTAAATAATTATAAAAGAAATTTAGAATATAAAAAATTGATAAGGATAAAAATAAAGATAATACTATTAATCTATAGTAAAATATAAATTATTAAATAAAAATAAAAAATTATAAATAATGTAGGCATCAGCAAGGCTCACATAAATAATTAAATATCTAGACTTATATATAAAAATGTGTGACAAGCAATATAACTACATATACACATAAATACATATGAATACATGTACACACATTTGTATTCATATAAAAAATAAGATTCAACACTTCCAGTGTACATTCCCCAAAGTCAATATTTTTAGGGAATTTTAAATTTGTTCTTATGTCTACATTTGAAAATAAGTTAATTTCTTTGATTCAATAATTAGTCAGCATTTTTATATTTAATTATTATAATCTTTTCTTATATGCATAGATTGCATGTATCCTGGAAGTTGTTGGGAGTTTGAGACTGACAGATGATATCCCATTTAATTTGTGGGGTGAAGCCTCTATCTTTAAGTTTCCAATAATGCTTAGAGTACTTTGGTGTCTTAAAGAAGCATTAGAGAAGGAATGCTGATGATCGTAGAGTTTGCTTCCAATTCCCTGGGAGAAGGAATGCTGGTGATTGGGAATTGCAAACAGTATATCTGTCTGGATGGATCAATTCCATTTCTTAAAAACTTTCGGTCTGAAGAGATGAATATAACAATATTCATGAAATAAATTATAACCAGTATGGATTTTTAATGTGTTTTCTTAATTTATCATTATATATTGCTCTATAACTTACATTGAGCTCTCATTAGATTAATGTCCTCCTTGGAATTATCCTTACCAATTACAAATTGGTTATATATATATATATATATATATATATATATATATATATATTATTATTGCAATTATTAAAAAATGTTTTTTTTTCATAATGACATTTTGTAAATATATGAGCCAATATTTAAGTGTAAATACTATTTTTCTTGGTTATTCAAATAGAAAAAAAAATCCAAAAATAGAACTTAATTGAAAACCTGTTCTCCGTTGAAGCATATTTTCAAGTTTTATTTGTAAAAGTTCTGATACCTACCTAGGAGTAAGAGATCTTCTTTGTCGAAGTTCTGAGGTTGGACTAGGAGGTGCCATATCATCAACATCTGTAGATAGGCGATTTTCCCCAGCTGCCATGGTAGGAGTTTCCTCCACAGATTTAATGGGATCCACTCCACTCTCTATACTATTCACATCTATTTCTGTGTCTTCAGCCTTACTAGATGCAGTGGAAGTGGCTTCTGGAGCTTTGGGTATCTTATCTTCTGGAAGAAACAAGTCCTCAGGTTCTTGCCAAGTTGGATTAAGTTGGTTGCTCAAAACCTAGATTTAAAATTTAGTTCAATAGATAATCAGTTTGATCCAAGTTTTCTCTCATATGTTTAAATAACTAATGAAATTTTACAAATTGTAAAATAACTATGATCATCTTTCTATTATACTTGATAGTTCAGACATGAGCCTTACGATTTGGTGGAATTCAGTCGGATACAATTGCTGAGTTAAATACAAGATACAGGTTTAGATGTTGAAAAATATTTTTTATTAATAGAATAAAAAGAAAATAAGAATATGAAATTTATTAACTTCAGAGATGTAAGAAGAAAAATTAGAAAAACATAAAACAGATAAAATTCTGAATCTTAAGTAGTCAAGGTTAAATTTTAATTAAACAATGAAATATGCAATTCACTTTGAAATCATTCCAATGTGTTGATTTTAATTTTTAAAAATGTAAAGTGTTCATAAAATTACTCAAAAATATTTAAAGACTTACCCTCAAAGTAAGTTGCAAGAGAAGCCTGGAATTAGTTGTGGCTTCTCCTCCTTTCAGATCAAATTTTCGGTCCATTGTCATGTTGGTAGCACTGAGAAGATTTTTCAGTGGCACAGACCCTTCACCAAGGGATTTGCCTGTAATCTTGTCATATACCTATAAATAATATTTCAAAGCAATTTATATTAAATCATGATGTAAGTTTATTTAATTATATTGTTGAAATAAAATAAACAAAATCTATATAACTTTGGAGTTTAAAACAGTTTATCTGAAGAAAAAAACAAACAAAACAAGTTTAATGTAGTAATGGTCAAGAAAACAAACATTAATTATCTGTTCCTCATCTCAAAATAAAAGTTTAATTATTTGAACTAGAGAAAGTTTCAACAATGTTAAAATTAACCTATTACACTGACAGAAAATAAAATTGCAACATTCAAAATCCTTCCATTTACTTAAGATTGAGCATACAAGTAATATAGTTAGATTATGGTATTTGATCACATGTATAAATCAATATGTGCACAGGTTCCAAAATAAAAGATATCAGCAGAGCACATATACAGGGTATATACTTTATGTCCTTGTTTGGTGTTAATACAGGCTTGTACTCATATGCTTATATAGATAACAAATACCATCCTACAATACATTATTGCATATCACTTGCACCTGTTGGTGTTAGTTGTAGGTGGGCTAAGTGAATGAGCCAGGCATCACCTCATGTTTCAGACATGTTCAATGGGAGATAGGTCTGGCAATTGTGCCAGCTAGGGAAGTTTGGTTTGGTTTATTTAGGTTTAATGGCATATCAACCATGAAAGGTTATTTAATGCCTACTAGTTTTTCCTGATAGGTTCGTATGAAGAGAGTATGTCTTCCTTACAAGAAATCACTTTGTAGATCAGTTTTCGTTGACATGTCCTATAAAGCGAGGTTTTGTCAAGCGCTAAACGTATTGTTGATAATCACTTTCTCCAAAAATGTCTAATGGAGATAATTTTCCTTCCAAATTAGTTTACTAGTCCAAGTAAGTAAATGAATTTAGTGAACTTTTTTTTTTAAAAACATAAGTAGGAGTAGATTGTTTATGTTAGCATTTAATCCACTACAATTCCATTGAATAATGTTTTGCATCTTGATTATGTATTATGAATTTTTACATGTCCAATTTTTTTTTTTTATATGGGTGAAGTGTCCATCATTTCTATATTCTTCAGACTATTAGCATTTTGTTTCTTGTTATGTTTTGTTCTTTGAACTTCTTTTGTTTCTACTTTTTTTGTTTGATTTTGCTCCTTTAGTTTTACCATTCAGTTCTTTTAATGAACTTTGTCTAGGTGATGATCTTTCCCTTGTTTGTGATGGGTTAGAGATTTGTTCCTCTATGTCCATTTTCCTTGGTTCTTCAATAACCATTCGTTATTTTTTTTTTTTTTTTTGTTTTTTTTCATTCTCTTGAAAATGTTTCTATTTCTTGGATTTTTTTTTTTTCATTTGGATTTTTCAGGTTTAATAGTTTTGTAGATGTAGAGTCATTTTTGTTTGCAGTTGATAGTATACGGTTTGTTTTGTCTGTGGTAGTTTGCTTTGTACCTGATAAACTACTTTTAGAAGTTCACTTAAACTCTTTATTTCATTGATAATAGTTATCAGATCTTGATTTCTTAATATATTGTTTTCTGGGATGTCTATTTGTTGACTGGTTATTTTTGTAATATTAGCATAAGACACTTGGAGTGAATTTGATTCTACCTGTTTCCTGGCTTCTTGAAAAGAGATGTTTTGTGTGTATTTCCTTCTAATTCTTTTTCCCAAATATTACACTCTTTAGAGTCTGCTATGTGATTACCATTACAGTCTGGACATGAAGGAGGCCTCACACAAGGTGACTCATGATCAGTCTCAGATTCTCCACATCTACAGACTGCTGTTCTAGTACAACTATTTTGTAGATGTCTAAATCTTTGACATTTAAAGCATCTACAAGGATTTGGGATGTAAGTCTCTACCTTGGTTATTGAGTATCCTATTTTTATCTCTTTTGTCAGAATTGGTTTGTTAAATGTCAGAATGTATATATTTGTATTTATTACTTTATCATTTTTTTTAATTTGAATTCTTTTTGCATTTGTTATTCCTGGTTTTGTTTTTTTTAGAGAGTCATCATTTTCAATTTCTGTTGGTGTACAAAATGATAGTTCTGGGCTTTTTATTACACCTTTGGCTGAATTCAGAAATTGATGGGGGTAAGCTTTTACATTTATGTTGTTAATATGCTTGATTTTTAGTAGTCTTTTTGCATCTTTTTTAGTTTTCACTTGTATTAATAGCATATTGTTTTTCTTTATTTATCATTTCAGAAATCACCTTTTGCAACATAAATAATATAACTTTTGTTATACTGCCCTCAACTGCTTCTGTGACGATAAATGTTGGGAAATGGTTATTTTCTATTTCATTTTCACTTTCTGTTTCTGAGAACTCGTATTGTCTGTTGATTCATTTGTGAGAGGTAGCCATCTACTTTTGCTTTTGAATTCACTGTCTGTGCTCCCCACCGACCTTGAAGTTCCTTCTTAAGGGACGCTATCAAGGGGGACTCATCCCATTTGCCTTGATCCGCCAGGGCTACACAGACAGTATGGTAGTGATGAGAGTGGATATGAGCACCCACACTCCCCCACCATATCTACCCAAGTATAGAATGATGTTAGGTTCCAATGCCATGTCAGATCCGTTATCTCTCATCCCAACTAACCCTAGCCACTACGTGACTGGCCAACTGGAATGGATTGGGCTATTCCATCCAACTGTCTATCCCAGGTAGGGACCGAAGAGACATATGAAAACTCCTTATACTCAATCGGGAATCACTCAATTACCAGGACTGTCCCCAGGCATTGAGGGGAATTTTAGTTTTTGTACATCATTTTTTATGAATGTGGTTTTTAAATACTGGAATTGGTATTGCTGGCATTATAATTGTTACAAAAAAACCCATTCTTACACTTTCCTAGTAATCTTTTTCCAGTTCAAGAGAGGGGGAAACTATTTACCCATAGCTGGGACCCTAATAGGTACTACCACTCCAGGTTAGGGTGGACCCAGGAATAACAACAATTAAGAGGCCATTCCACACTCCTCAAAACCTCCCAAAAAGAGGCCTTACTGCTGGATGTAGTATATCGTCATACCCAGGATGAAGCTAGGGAAGTTGTCAAACATTTGGTAAATCATTTTGAATAGTATAGGCACGTGAACAAGTATTATACTGCTGGAACAACACACTGCTTTCCTCTTGCAACAATGGCAGCAAAACAGGTTGAACAGTGCTCTGGACATACAATGCTGCTGTTCGACATTCCTTCTACAAATATCAACAGTGATTAAGAGGGATAACTTATGACACTGCACACAATGATGTCAAAAGTGGAGTTTGTTGTGGACAAATATATACTCTATAAGATTATATAGAGATTAAAGTCTCTCTCACACACAGAACACTATTGCCATTCAATCCTTAAGTTGACCCTCTCACTGGAGATGTGCATAACAGTATTGTAGTGTAAGTGAAGTTTCAGTATTTTGAAATTCCTGGAGGCTATATTTGCTATGACCTGTTCTGTAGATGCCATGCCGTTTGATACTGTTGCCCTTACAAGGCATCAATCTTAATCTATCACCCTCTGTTTTGTCCCCGGCTTGCCACAAAAGTTGTTGTAGGGTTATATGAACTGGTACCCTTATTTAGCTTCCTTTAGTTTATTTGGGTATTAAGGCTTACATACTGAATTTGGGCATTCATTTTACTTAAACTGTTCAATCCCTTTTTGGAATCAATGGTTAGAGAAAGGATATGAAAGGAAGAAAAACAACTTGTGTTATCTAGCCTTTTATTTGTTATGTAAAAAAGTTATTTGTTTTTTTCTTCATATTGATCTACTTTGTCAAGATAATGAAAAGAATTTCCTCACTGATTCTTTTCATTATCTTGACAAAGTAGATCAACATGAAAAAAAGCAAATAACTTTCAGTTTATATATATATATATATATATATATATATATATATATATATATATATATATATATTTTTTTTTGCAGCATTTCATTATTAGGTATGATTATTCCACTAGTCTAAATCTTATCTGGCCAGATCTCCAATCCACAATCTTATCAGCTTATTTACAAATGGCTCAAACAATCTTGTCACTAAACAGTCCCTTTCAGCTGTTAAGTTACTTCCATATTTGGAAATTTTGTGGTGAACTCATTCAGAAATCTTACAATGTATTCCACATTTTGATTTAACCATTTCTTTATCCATATGGCTATTTCCTTAACTGAATTCTTGATAAGAAAAATTTCACCTTTTAATTTTTTCATTTTGTCCAAAAAGTACCACATAATCACTGCTTCCTTATAAAATCCTACTATAGGAGAAGGATTATCTTGTTATAAGGGTATTACAATTTTATTTATTGTCAATGTAAAACTACCACACATACAAATATATTGATGAAAAAGTCCATATACTTGTAATTGTTACTTTTAGTATATCAATTTATTTTAGTGAATGTTTAGTATATCAATTTATTTTAGTGAATGTTTAGTATATCAATTTATTTTAGTGAATGTTTAGTATATCAATTTATTTTAGTGAATGTTTAGTATATCAATTTATTTTAGTGAATGTTTAGTATATCAATTTATTTTAGTGAATGTTTTGCCTTTTAAACAAAAGGTGCACAGTAAAAAATATCTCAAAGCAATTATGAAGATTGCTAAGTGTAGATTTAAACTTTAAAAGTGATCTTAGATGGCTATTGAATAAAATGAATTAAAGTAACCTTTATTCAGAAAAGCTGTTTATTTAGCTATAAAATAATCTCAAGTTACATAATTTAAAGAAAAAAGAAAAACTTAAGGATAATACATAAAAATACTTAAATTCTTTTTTTTATGACTAACTACTGAAAATCAATTAGAATTTTCTATGATAGAATAAAAATATTACCATATATATATATATATATATATATATATATATATATACTTACCACATAATAAATTTCCTGAAAATGGGGGTCATGCACCAAAAACCTGAAATTTTCTTCCCACTTTGGATCTGTGGAACTTAGCTTGACAGTTGTCCTTTCTTTCTTTTGGCCAACAGTTAATTCCACATAAGGGTTGGGTTCAGAGAGGCTTTTCTTGGATTTCTATAAAGAAAAATACTCCAATAATTCCATTGAAAAAGAGGATAATTATAAAGAAAAGAAAATGCTATTGTTTAACTAGATTGGCATTAATCCTTTTATACTAATGCTACTAATAAAAAAAATATCAATGAAGCCATCTGTGCTTTGCTTAAATGCACCATCTACCAATGAAGTAGCAGTACTCATTTCTGTCCAGAAATTAGAAAAAAAGAGACATAGTGATAGAGAAACAAAATGGATCCCTAAAGAAAGTTGCTAAAACACACAGGAGTTATGATCTCTCCAGTATCCACTTATTTTCTGGCAAGAGTAGGATGGTTATCACTTCCTTCTGAAACAAATTGATCCTGAGACTAGGAAAATTACAAGAAAGAAAGTTTCAGCACAAGACTTCTATTGCTACAGAATCATGGTTGATATGTATGCAAAAATTGAAACGGAGAGGTTGCTCTTTATCGCATTCCACCAATGAGAACTTTGAGTGGATAGTTACATTCACCTCCAAAATGCTGTTTAAAATGATGACAATCTACACTGGAAAGAAAGTCACTCTTCCATCATTTATAGGAGGTGCCAAGTACATGCATGAGAAAACTGAAAATAAAATTACATATGTCAGAAATTTTGGGAAGCCTGATCTCTTCATTGCCTTTACCTGCAACCCAATATGGCATGAAATAATTAACAATTTGATAGGTCAATCTACTACTGTCATGACATTGTATCTAGAATATTTAAGCTGAAAGTTGACAAACTGTTGAATCTCATTAGGAAAGAAGTTTTTGGAGCGCAGTCAGAGCTCATATGTGCACTATTGGGTGGAAGAAAAGACTGCCTCATTGTCATCTATTGGTTTGGTTCAAGGAGAAAATCAGTCCAAATCAAATTCTTGCTATCATCAGTGCTGAGCTGTCAAATCCCACTGAAGACCCAGTTCTTATTGAAATCATTAAAAAAACAAAAAAAAAAAACTGCAGCAATGACTTTCCAAAGCAGTTTACCAAAGACACTCAGTCTGATCTTGTTGGCTATCCAAAATACAAAAGAAGGAAGCCAGAAGATGGAGGTCACACTTTCACTGAATAAAAGTGGACAAGAAATTGTCACTGATAATCGGTGGGCTGTTCCATTTGGAACACTTCTCAGCATAGCATTTGGTGTTCAACATAAATGTAGAGTACTGCAACAGCATCAAGTCAATTAAATATGTAGGTAAATACATTAACAAGGAAAGTGACCAAGTAGTATTTGATTTGGAAAAACAAAATGAAGTTCAAAAGTTTCTAATGGGCTGATACATCTCTTCCAATGAGGCTGCCTGGAGGATCCTTACCTTTTCAATTCATGACCGAATTCCTTCAGTTCAGCTCTTGTCGCATCACTTGGAAGTTTACTTCACAGAAGAAAATGCAAGAAAACTGGCTGAAACTCCTAAGAACACAACACTAATGGCATTTTTTTTAGAATGGTGTCAAAATGATGACTTTGTAAGAATAATCCTGTACCCTGAGAAAATTTCAGAGGAGAAAGCAAGGTGAATCTCTTCCAAGTGAATCTGGAATCAAAATGGGAGATATACTTGGAAGAGCATATACAGTCCATCCAAGAAATCCTGAATGCTTCTTTTTCAGGCTGTTGCTTCATCATATAAGGAGCCCAACATCATTACAAGACTTGAGAACAATTGATGGAGTAAACAGACTTTCAGACAAGCATGTATCAAGCTTGGCCTAACAGAAGATGATCATCATTGAGATATGACTCTGGAGGAATCAGTTGCAACAAATTCTCCAAAACCAGTCAGAGATCTGTTTGAAGAATTGATTGCCACCTTTGAACTTTCCAACCCAGTTACTCTTTGGGAAAAATATCAGGAGGCTCTCAGTGAGGATATTCTTCATTAAATGAGACTTGCTCATCCAGGATTGGAAGTGAATCCTCAGATGTGGGCAAGACTATCCAGCATTCAGAGATTAGGATCGCCCAGCACGTTCTGGGCCAGGTACGTAGACATGAGACATCCAGATGTTCGCATGCTCATGACTCCACAATTGGTGAACATTTATTGAATTCTGTTGCTTGCATGATGAACTATTCTCCCGAGATCTTCTTTGTCTTACACAGGGCATGAACTAGACTCCAGTTTGACATCTTGGAGTCTATTGTTATTAATATACAACATCTGGCCCTGTGTGTAGGCAGAGAGAATTTAAACACAAGTTAGCCCTTTTTGAAGAATGTCACCAATTCAATACCAAACTAGGAAAATAAATGTTTTTTCTTTTTGTACCCTCCTCCTGTTTTGGTATATTTTAACATCAGTAACATCATCTGGAATTGCTGCTACCTCTTGCTTGGGTATACAACAGACAGAACCTTCAAGCTTCCATTGGATTTGAACTACAATAAAACCCCTAATTGCAACATCAAGAGAAGAACCAACTTGGCTAAGCTACTGGATGAGACAAGCTTCATTGTCTGGGATGAATGTACCATGGCACACAAGAAAGCATTTGAGGGTCTAGACAAAACACTCCAAGAAATCAGACAGAATTCACAATTCATTGGAGGTGATACTCTCTGATGATTTTAGACCAACTTTACCAGCCATTGCAAGAGCCACTCTAGCTGATGAAACCAATGCTTGCCTGAAAAATTCTTACATTTGGAGCCGTGTTCAAAGATTCAGTCTGAAAACAAACATGTGAGTTAGGACGATTTGCTGCTTTGTTGTTGCAGATTGGAAATGGAACCATCAAAATGGAGATATTTCACTCCTAAATGGTTGTTGAGTTTCAGTCTCAAGTATCCAAGACTTTATTAACCATGTTTAACCAAATATTAATTACCATTTCATGGATTCAAACTGGCTTTGTGAGAGAGCCATATTAGCTCCCAAGAATCAAACTGGATAGCATCAACTGGAAATTCTCCAAGAAATTCCAAAAGAAAGCATGAAGTACTTTTTCATTAACTTCAGTTTCTAGTGAGAGTGTGCTATGCAATGTCAATCAATAAATCCCAAGGGCAATCATTGAAAGTAACTTGACTTCATCTGATGGAACCCTGCTTTTCTAACGGCCAGCTCTATGTTGGTTGTTCAAGGTTTGGGAACGGAAACAAGCTATTTGAACTGACCCTGAATGGGAAAACCAAAAATGTTGTTTATCGTGCAGCCTTGCAATAAGTTCCAAATGGACAAATATCATTCTCTTGATGAAAACTGTTGTTTGAAAAATATTTTTCAAGTTGATATGTACTCAATGCATGAAGTTTCATTGTTGGGCTGAAGGCCCAATCAAGAACACTCTGCAGGAGTTAGCTTAATTGCTGCCCAATAAAGCAGTTTTTAAGCTAGTTGACTATATAAGCAGGACAACTCAACTTACTTAGACAAGAATTTCCCAGCATTTTCCAGCATTCATTAAAAGAGGTCAGCTTCAAAATAATTTGCATAAGTCTGTTGTGCCATGTATGTAATCGCAGAGCATCTAAACAAAACTGTCAGTGTGTCAAGGCATATTGTGAGACCCGGCTCTGTTTTATGCAGATCTCATTTCAGAGTTCCATTTTAAAGACCCTGAAACAATTTTCATTAAGTCCAGGCAGCCTTCCCTGTGTAAACAGGAGATCTGCTTGTAGATATTCTGTTTTGATATATTACTAATAACGGCATGTTAGTTTTTCTTTTATCGTCTTACTTGGTATGTACATTTACTATTATTCATCAATCGATTGAGGAGAGATAAATGTTTTTGTTTTTTTTAAATCATTCTGGTCTTACGTATTAAATATCAGTTTCTTTTTCTCTCTTGTTTTAATAACTTTTATACTGTTAGTAAAATTTTAAAATAATGAAAATTTTGATCTCAAAACAAGTGAGAAGGTAATTAGTCAATAATAAAGTGTGAGAGGCAGAGCAATAAAGATAGTAGTAATAGAAGGATCAGAGAAAGAATTCAGCCATATTACAATGGCTTTGGTAATATATTGCCATATAACATGGGGAGCTGCCATGATATAAGATCAAATCTCACCCAAAGCTACTTGTGCATTCTTAGAAATCAATTTCATAGTTAAAAATTGATTGACAGAGAAAATGTATAAAAAATAAAGAAACTAGACTGACACTAATAGGTTTCAGCACAAAATGAGCTTATAAAATATAGAAAAATTATGTAAAATTCAATTATCTAAATGTATTAATAACTTGGTATATAATTAACATATTAAAGGTTTCTTTTAAGCATAGTGAATAAAGAGTTACCTAATACTCATACTATTCTGGTGCATGGCAACATTTTTTTTTTCATTTCTGATATATTAATTTGGCTGCTCTTGTTTTATTCAATTTTATTTTGCACTAAGACGTACAACGTAAAATCTGATAAGTATTTGAATTATCATATAGTAGAATAAAGTATCTATTTGGGAAGATAACAAAAAATGCAATGGTTGATAAATGAATAAACTTACAGACAGACACTTGGCTGCATCCACACAGACCATTAATAGACAAGAAGACAAACTCTCAGAATATTCGGTGTCTCCGTCTATCTGCCTCAGAGACTGAAAACAACAAAAAAGTTAAAATGTAAAGAATTCAACCATTTTTATCAAACAGAAGTTATTGTCTAACCAACCAATACAAATTTGTTTTATGACTGATGCAATATTTTACCAATAAATTTTACATCACATTTAAATGTCTGTTTAGTGAAAATGGATTACAAAAATTATACATAGCATAAAATTAAGCTTCTATGGATTTCACTCTAAAAGCATTTTAGTTGTTTACTCAAGACTGTAGTATTAGGTTGATGAGAAAGCTTCATAAAGTTCCAAACATAAAAACATTATGAACCTTTTTAATTTGGGGTATATAGAGTAGTTTTCAGCCTTTACAATCATTGGTTCCATGCCATCAAAACTTCCACAAAATTTTCTTGAGAATATGTTAGCTGTATAAATTCAATGCTAATATATCAAAATGTGTACACACAGCTGTACTGATGTCACAACTGAACCATAGATGGATTAGAAAGTGTAACATTGCTCACCAACAATTTCTCAATCTAATGAAGATTGGGACTTCTAAAGTGTACTGCATGCATCAGCAGTATATAATTGATACAATTGGCAATAATACCTTTAATTGCACAAAATAAATTTTCCAATCAAATATATGTAAGTGCAAAAGTAAACACCTTATCAATTTAACATTATTAAACATGAGGCAAAATACTTCAAGTGGATTTAAAATGAAATAAACAAATTCAAAAATATATACAGGGTTTATTTATGTGATATACAAAAATTTATACAAAAAATTATGTGGAATCCAAGTTTCCTATAAGCAAATAGCAGGTAAATAATTTGTTTATTTTGAATATACACTCATCTATTCCATAAGGGTGCCTGTTGCAAAGTGAGGGTTAACAAACTCATCTCAGATCATTTTTTTTTTTTACTGTAGCCCTAGGATAGACTAAGTGAGCATATAAGACACCTGTCTGAGCAATGATTTGCCACCCACAACCAATTCATGCCAGAATTAGACTATAATTAGTAAATATCCACTTATCTATTCCATGAAATATCCATTTTCAAGTAAAAAAAAAAAAAAAAAAAAAGAACCAAAAACTACCTTGGATAATTTAGACAGAAAATAGAAGGGAGCTTTATTAAAATAGAATCTATTGTCAAACTATAGATGAGTGTACAATCTGGATAAACAAACCTGCTTTCAACAATTTTTTCAATTTTCTTCATTTTATAGTCAAATTCATGCATTATATAGTGTGTTGTTGAAAACCCAGCAAAATGTTGTCCATCACATAAGCAGTGCTCATGCAGAACAAACATTGCATAAGGAATTGTGTGAAGAAAAGAAAACAGTAAATTGGCAGAAAAATGCATTTCATACTGGATAGGTGAATGCTTACAAATAATGACATCACATGGAAACAAATGTATATACACCACCAGTAATCTATGTTTAAAATATTTATTACTAAACAAAGACAGCTGACACACTAGAAAATATAGCATTGTTATAAAGACAAAAAGCCACCACACATATCATTAGTTATAAAATATCACACCAATTAATTAAAAAGATGATCATGTTAACAATGATGATGAAGATCTATTTTCCAACACTAGTTGGATAAAAACAACCATATTACTTGAAACAAAGTAAAATAGAATTAAGACTTAAAATTATTATTCCAGTGATATAGTTCTTTGGCTAATCCTATAATTTATATCAATCTTGCCAGCAATAGCTCCAGTTTTACCATAAGTATGGAGTACATTCTAAAGCTTTTTCACTGCCTTTCACTTGAGAACATTTCAATGTACATTACTATTGAACAAGTTTTGGTCAACTTCTACAGCTTAAATGAATAGTATAAGCTAGTATTTTAATTTACTACTCTTAGCTTTGGTACTGAACTTGCTACCTTGATACTATGATTAAAATAACATAATATCAGTTGTGAACATTGAATTTTATAGAAACAAACCTAACCCTATAAAAGCAGATTTCAAAATTGTTTGTTAAATAGAATCAAAACTATTTTGGTTACATTTTGTATTTCCATATAAGCACATCTAACATTACTACAGCTACTATCACTACCTTGGTATTATAACTTGTAATAATCTGTGAACTCACTGTTTACTCAATATATTGTTGACATTGTATTTGATAATTGCCTGCAACAATCATTTACCAAATGCATATGAAAAATTTCATATTTATAATACAATCTATTAAAATAAAATCATTGACTAACTTCATGAGGTTGGTGTTTGAGTTTAGTTAACAGTCAGCATTTCAATCTTCCTATTCAACTTTGTGGCATATTAAGTATTTTATAAACTTGTCCCCTATCCCAGATAAAAAAATGTTTAAGAAGTCACAAATAGTCCTAATATTTGAACAACATATTTCAAAGATAACAAACCAATTGATGCACAATTTCAAAAAAGGGTTAAATATTTATTTTGTTATTTTCATCAAGAACTTAAATTTGAACATTTAAGATAGAAATATTGGTGGAAAGAGTACAGTTGTTAAACAATCTAAACTAGAACAATAAATAATCTAGACAGTTATAAAACTGTCAGAAGATTATAGAAAAGTCCCACAAATGAATCCATATATCTCTGGTTGGTCATTTTTATCATTTCTTGTATGATCAGCATTTTAGAAAATATACCTGTTTAAAAACCAACAATACTATGCACCACTCAATCTTTTGCATTTGAACTTTTTCTCAAATATTATGATCATCATAATGACATAAAAGAGTAGAATTCTTGCAAAACATCCCGTCATTGGAACCCCATTACAAATCAATTCTTTTATGTATAATCCTTGTTTGATAGCATTAAAAGTAGTGTGATAACTGATGGATAAAGAAAAAAAAACATCTGAGCTAAACTATTTTAAAGTGATAAATACAGATAAAACAAAGAAAAAAAATGAATTTTTCACTTTGCTATTTGTCAGCTGTAAGATACACTGCCAAAGATAAAAATTATCTAAATATTACATTGTATGCCCAAAGTGTTTACTAGAAAATAGGAATAATTCCACTGAATAAATTTATGTATTTAATATAGAATTTTTTGCTCATCATTGAAAGTGAAGTATAAAAAAAAATTAGAGACAGTTACATAATACAACTTCTTGTTCACCTGCACCACAGTGGCATGGAGTTTAAAAGTTGCTGAAATCCTTAGGTAACTACATCTACCAAGACACATGACAGGGTTGTCCACACCAGAGTCATGTTTATTGGGTGTAAGTGTAAAGAATTTAGTGAGATCTGCCACATGGCTCATATATGCTAAGTGGGGTTTAAATCTGGTAAGCACAGCAACCAATAGAGTACTTGAAAGTTAGAATGTTCATAGAGCCATTTTCATGTTTCATATGCACAATGAAAGGGTTGCATCTTCTCAATGTAATAAAATTGGGAACCATGGCAAATTGTCTGCAACAAGATTTATGTATATTACACACACACACATCAGGGCAGTTTCCAGTTTCAGTTAACTGTCCTATCAAACTCCAAAAGAACATTTCACACCTTTCATAAAATCAAGCTGGCAAGCAGTTTCCTGTGTACAATCTTTACCATTTGGCCAAAAGAGCTTGAAATGTGACTTACCTGACTAGTTGACAAAGTATCTACTTTCTATAGTCAAATGGAAATACTTTTTATTCCAGGTGAAGCACAGTATCTGATATTGTGGTATCAGTAACAGTAATATTGTTGGTTGATATGAAACAAATAATGCAGTATAAACAGTACAGTACATTGATTGATAGGTTGAATGCACTAGTATTGATTTGGGTTGTGATGCCATGTTCCTTTTGTTGCATGGTTATACTTGTCAGTTGCTAGTGGTCCTATTTTTGCTTCCTCTGTATCCACCTGCAGTTTTTCACTGATGTCTAGAATGTACATGTACCTAGTATACCCTGGTTACTGTTGTTCAGGTAAAACCTATAGCAATTCCAACTTTGATATAAATTACCCCATTTTTAAGCCCCAGTTAAATGGTATTAAATCCAATCAATGTCTCAAGGCTACCACACCTACACTACCTCTTTATAAATCCTATATACATCATCAGGCTGATTTTTTTTTATAAATATATAAAGGAATTTTCATCCTAATATTTGTTTATATACTAGTGTATATTAAATGATAAAAGCAAATAACTGTCAAATAATTATATTTAGATAATATAAAATTAGTTTGCATGTTAGATTGAGATGTTATGAATGAAGGGAAATAAAAGCACAATGGAAGGAAGAAAGTGCTCACACCCCAGTCAAGAGGCCAGCCACTAGCCTTTGAACAAAACATCTGTACATATAATAGCACATGTGTGAAGCTGGCATTACATTTAAACTATTATATTCATCTTTTGATCTGTATTGGTTGTATAGGTGAATGTTTTAACATGTATTGATAACTGCATACATGATCATTCTGTTCATCTTAAACATTGGGAATTTTAAAGAAAAGAGCAATAGTGAGAATGCTAAAATAAAAAAAAAATAATATCAAACCAGATTACATTTTTTATATATATATATATATATATATATATATATATATATATATAAAATGTATGTTTGTTTTACGCCATATCAACCTAAATTTAGGTTATTTAGTGCTGGTAATTTTTTTTTTTCCAAAAAATGTATTGCTGGTAATAATTTTTTCTTCAAAACCATATTGCTGGTAATAACTCTTTCTCCAAAAATGTATTGCTGGTATTACCTATTTTTACACCTCCACAGCATTTTGATAACAGATTGTGGGTCAACTATTTGCCCATAGCTGGGACCCAAGAAGGTGCTATCACCCCAAGTCAGGGTAGACCTGGGAACACCAGCAATTAAGAAGTGGTTCCACACTCCTCAAACCTTGAGCACCTTTAATTTTAAATATTTTCTTTTCAAAAGATGCTATATGATGTAATCTAAGATCTAACACCTAAATCTTTTCAGTTAACTTGTTGAATATTTATGAGCATTCTTA